ATATTTATAATATATATATAATATAAACTACTATGATAATTATTTTGGATGACAACTGCTTTGGACAGTATTTTTCGAAAGACCGGGCGAGTTGTATTATAGAGACATTTTATTTTCACCGCACGACTGACTGCGCCTTTCCGATTCAGTGAGAAAAATAATAATAATAAAAATTGTTTTTAAAGAAAAACTATTCTTGTCACCGAGTACACAACAGACCGTTTCCATACATAACTATACTTTGCAGGAAACTTGACGAGCGTTGTCTTTATAATATTTTGTTGCTAACAAGAAATAAACACTTTGAAAATCATAACTGTATCACACATAACAATAATATTGTATACTGTTCGGTAACATCGTATCAGTATGTGAATAACGTTGTAAATCGTAATAGATAAATTATTGCTACAGTACTATACTATATAGTCATTATAGTCGTCTGTCTTTTCAAAATTGCTTTTCTAATCGAAAGCCTGTTAAAATGGAGTTTTGTCTTGATATCTACAGAATATAAGTATCCAGCTTAAGGCCAGGGTTAAAAGTCAAAGAATAATGTGTTTTACTTTAATAAAATAATTTTCACTATCATATAATATAATATACATAGGTATATTATTTAGGTAGGTTTAAAACGGTTTTACATACAAAAATGTGAACTCAAATTAAATATTTTCATGTAAATAATAGTTTTAGCTTTAATATAATTGTACGCCTAAATTTTAAATTTAATTATTCATTCTAATTACTTATACTTACCCTACTTAATAGAAAATTTTTGAGAAACTCACCTAACCAAATATTATTGATATTATAATATAAGGCTGATTGTCTTAAAATTTAAATAGTATGATGTAATTTTTATTAATGGGTGTAGTGGTTCTATTAGAACTAAGTGCATTATAATTTAAAATCATATAATATAATTTAATATATTTACTAATCATACGATTACGAGCCCTTACTACTACTGCATCTGATGATTTCTGTATAGTAACGGGCGAACTACGCGCGATGACAGATAGATCGATAGTTGGCAACGACGACTATACGTTAACTTGGCAGCGTGTACATTATATAGTCAATGAACTTGTTTTGCCAACTATTTTCCGGTCGCTCGCGATACGAGTAAATACAACACGTACAAAATAATATACACAATACACATAATATGTCACATACGTATATGACGGCAGCGGCGACGACAAGTCCGATGTCGTTGTCGTGCAGCGGTTTCCTTTCTTTGGTTTTACGACCAAAACAACGATGGTTGTGTTAATTTCGTTTCGAACCGGAATGACAATCAAGTCCCCTTATGCTCATTAACATGTTGTTTTAGGCGCATTTATTATTTTTATTATTGTAATCGTCATTGTCGCCGATGCCACCACAGCCATTTTCCTTGCACATGATCCGTTACTCACTTATACTCTATATACAACACTTCGTCTCATTTTTTATAATATGACGACATGAGGGTACCCCGTCAAATACCATATAAAAAAAAAAAAAAACATAAATGAAACTTATGCGTGCTTAGATAGTTTTTTGTTTTTGCTTAACGAGCGCAAACGACTGACGACAACAGTCAGCGGGCGAGTACAGCTGCAGTAATATTTTTATTTATTATTAAAACGAGTCTTCAGAAAAAAAATCCAAATACATCAAAATCTTGAAAACGCTGCTATTGTAATATATTATGTATCTACATAATATATGTGTGCATTGTCCTATAGCTGAGTTAAAATTACGAGTATATTAATGAGATAAAGTCACTCGAGGCAAAGATTATTATAGTATAAAATGTGAATAACATTATTATGTGTGTAACATATTATGTTACAATAATGTTCTGCATGTTATTTTAGATTATTATTCTGTATTTATTATACGAATATCGAATTATAAACTCTAATTATCTACCGTATACACACAACAGCTGCACTGTCGTTGGCAGAATTAGCCAATTTAATCGTCAGACATTTCATAGTAAATATAATGTTATCTTTGATAGATATTTATTATTATTATTTTTTTTTTTTCAATCAAAAATAAAGATTACAAAAATTCTAACACACTTGTTAGCCAAATATTATTTGATAATTCAAAATGAACTCATTTAGATGACTGAATTACATTATTTGATAAAATCTTTTTTTTTTTGCGTGGGAACAAATAATTCGACAGGGAATTTATTAAAACAAATTCCATTGAAACATTACTTTTGAAATACCATACGCATTCTCATAAAAATATTTGGTTTTCTGACTGATAGTTCGATTAAAACGAGTGGGAGTGCAAACAACTGCAGTGGGAAGAAACATCAGAGTATATACAACGGGTTTTATATTTAAAAAATAACCATTGCATGACATAACGAACATGTATTTTCGTCTGGGTTTTAGATGTACAAATCCTTTTTTAAAACCATAACCATTTAACACACGTGCATATCTCATTATCGTACCACACACAAACTAAACAATTTATGTGTATACTTATTATATTTTCAATTTTAAAATAATTAACCGTGGAAACAAACCTGCAGCATATAGTACCATGAGTCAATATCAATAATGCATGATAATAAAAATAAACAATAACATAAATAATAAAAACCTCGAACACAACACAATAACCATCTATATCTATGGCAATTCCCGAATAGTCCACCCAACTATAATTCTATGATTTACTGGAATTGATCGCTCTGATTGGATTTTCCCCGTCAGTTTGATTTTGTTATTCTTTAAAAATATGCGCGTATACATAAAAACTTCAGCGTTGGAATGAGTGTTTGAATTTGAAATGTGAAAATTCCTAATGCGTTGAGAATTACCTTAAAAACTTTCCCCTGCCGATTAGACTGTAGTCCAACGAACATTATATATGGTCAGAATACGTTTATATATAAGTATACAATGTGTGCTGCTAATATAATATAAGTAAAAGTGAATTTTGCTCACATTTTATAAGTATCTCGTAAATATTAAAAATTAAATAAGCTCATCCCATCGATACCGTTTAATAAACAATTGCAGTAAGCACGAAAATCTGATAATATGGATAAATTATACAAAATTATAATGTTATACAATTATATATATATAATTGAGAGAGAGAGAGAGAGAAGTTTGAAGACAATAACACATATTGCGTATATTTATAAATATACTGTTAAGTATATTATCGCGTGAGCGCGAACATCTCTTCTTATATAAAGCGGTGAAGTGACCTATACCAAAACATCATATGCGTACAAAAAAGCCATAATTAACAAAAAGTGAAACGACAATCACGGCCACTGCCGCCGACAATATGATTGAAATTCATGTGTCATGCGAGTGTTCTTACCTACGAGTACATCTTAGCCCACACTTTAAAGCTGTAATGTTATATATAAAGTGAGTCACCAAACATAATCACTTCCCTTGTTTTTTTTTAAAAATTCAGTTATTCAAAATTTAAATTTAAAATTTTTAAATATACTTAAATATTATTTTTTTAATACTTTACTTGTTTTATACAATATAAAGAATATTCAGTGGCATTTCAAACTTCTATTTCACAAATTATAATATGTTAATAGATAAATATTAAATACACAATTTTCAAATTATCAAAGTTCCTATACTTCCCCAACCACAAAACTGCAAAAAATACAGCATATTTGATGAATTACCCAATATAATATATCTATATATTATATGTACCGGCTATATCACATAATAACGAATACACAAAAAGTCGAAAACCGAAGCCTATATACGTAGTAATTGAATTCTGTATGACGCACGATACGTGTATTTTAGATACATGTTTCTGTGGCTTAAGTCGACGACCGTCATCTTCTCCGCAATAAAGCCAAATAATAATATTATATAATATAATAGACGTACGCTGTACCTGTCGTGACAATCGTCATGGTCCCAGACGTCGTCACATCTCCCAGACTATTTTATAATTAGTCACACGCGTGATATAATACACGGCAGGGACAATATTACAATTATTTTGTGTACACCGCTGCACTATACGGATAGTCTAGTAAAGACCGGTATTGTATGCACAGCGCACGTGAGTTGGAATTATTGGTTGTCTAAAAATGTTAAATATTATATGAAAAAAAACGAAATGCGTTTCCGTGACAGTAACATGAATGCCACAATGATATGCAATATATGTATAGATATATTATACATATAGATCTGATATTATAGACGAAACGATATCCCACTTTGTTATCTCTGTGGCGGTGTATTCATGTACGTGACAATAATATGTTTATGCGTGATGCTAGATGGACGGGTGGTTAATGATAAAGTGTAGAAAGTTTAGGGGTGATAACAGAATTCAAACAGTTTGTAACTCATTACTACTGTTATCAGAGTAGTCCGAAAAAAATGTTTAACCTAAAGAAAAAATCCTAATAGATATTTGGATTTACAACGACTAAACAAACCTACTGAAAACCCCTATCAAAAGAATTCAAAAGATTTTTGTGCTTAATTCAATAAAAAATAAGATATCTTTAAAAAAAAAATATGTACTCATAAGCTTTTGAATGAAAAACTACTACACATTAAGTATACAAATCACAACGTTGAATAATGAACTAGAAAGCTTACAAGCCTTATAAGCTACGTTGTACAAGATTATTGCTAGACTTGAATTATAAAATCATTATTATATAGACACTTCGCGTGTATTCTGTATGTATATATTATAATAATAATTTAAGAAAAATATCACGTTGAGTATAATAGCAATATTTAGAATAATATTGAAAAATAATAAAATTAGATTATAGCGAAAATGACAACAAGAATTGTAAATTTTAAGAGAAAAACACATAACCATCCGCGGTTTAGGTACCTACACAAAAACTCAATAGATTTAATAATCTAATCATTAAGCATTAATATTATTTTTTTTTTTCAAATAACTCGAATTTTTTTTAAAAATAAAAAATTATGTAAAAACTTTAATCTAAAACTCACCATCGTTGTCAACCGACGGATAGGATTTTTCTTGGGTCGATGAGTCCTCTGGGTCAGAGTCGATGTGTGGTATAGAGTTATCGGCGTCATCGTACACACTACCGCCGTTGTTATGCTGTTGCTGCTGCACGGCAGCCTTTGCGCGGTCATCGTTGTCGTCGACAAAGGAAGTCTGTTGCGTTGGCGACTGGCACATCCGGTCCTGACATCCATAACAAGGGTACGGTATCCGATCGAGCGGCACTCTGTGCACCGACCTATCGACCACGGCCACCAGGTGTTTGAGCGTGGCGCTCAGCTGTTGCAGGTCACCGGCCAGCATGGCCGCAGTATCGGTGGACAGTCTGCTCCGGAGCCGGGCGCCCGCGCCCACCCAGTTCACCGTCAGCCCAGCACTGGTCACGTCCAGCGACAGGTACGCGTCAGACAGCGGTGCACCGCCCGAGCAGCAACCGATCGGCGCTACCAGATGAGTCAGCACGCCACGCTGGCCGTGGCTAAGCGGCCACCCTGCCCAAACGTCGCAACACTGCAACAACAAAAAAGAAAAAAAAAACAAATTCAATTAAAAGAACATAAAACAGTGCATATAATTTCATAGTATGATAATGTACACATGATCTCGCTAATCCAACTTAAATCCTTTCTATGTACACAATAAACTAACACATTATATTATGATAATAATCTATTTTTATTTTCGTATGTTTATTACAGCGCATTGAAGTTAAATGTTATTGTAAGATTTTGTTTACAATAAGTACTCTTCTGCGGTCGTACTGGAAAATTGGTATTTACAGTGCACATAACTTAAAACACTTGAAATTATTCTGTAACTGAGCAATACCCAAGTCGATTATCACTACATTTTACCGAGCGGGGCTGTATAATACTATGATACGAATATATATATAAAAAGCATAAATTAATTGGTTGCCGTCTTTGCGTCGTCTATTTGTGCACATGAAAAGTTTCCAATTCCTACTGTGAGTAGTCACCGGAAACCGATTCAGTTCATATGGTACCGAACGCGAGAACGCTTTGACATCAGTTTTATTCGTGCTGTCGTGAAATTATGTAAACTTTTTCTGCAGCTGCTACATAAAATCTAACTGGGGATGCGCAATACAATATCCAACATTAATGCCAACCCCACATCACATGGAGGTAAAATTACGATTCTCCGTTGAAATAAATTATTTTTAGATTTTCTATTGAATTTGATACGCGACGAAAGCAACGAAGACCCCGCGATCGTACGACACACGTGCGTGAAAAAGATCAATATTTACATTTACGTAGTATCATGTGGGTCGTGAACGTAAACACGAGACTTAAAAACAATACACCGCATTGGAAACATTGACCTCGTTGCTTATTTTAAATGTATGCTAACGCTGCCTCCACCACCACGGATGATACAGCAGACTTATCTAGCTACTATATTATTATAATCGCAACGGGCAATATACACGGGCACGCTGCATATGTCTTCTCAGACAGCACAATAATATTATTATAATTTACACTAATACCATAGTAGTATTAAGTGATTTTCATTTCCGGACTAATATTTTTGAGCGGAACGTTTATTTATCAAAGAAGTATCGAAAAAGAAAACTTTTTATCGATTACCGTATCTGTTAAAAGTAAATTTTAGATTATTACGTTTTTTACTTTTTTTACACGTAGAAATAAAATTTCAACAATCATGATAAGTACATACATTCAAAAGCAATTTTGGTTGAAGTAATTATTTTGATTATATGTTTGTTTACCTTTCATCGTACATTAATATAATACTAAATCGAATGTTTTTTTTACGAACATTAAACACACAATTGTTAAATGACACGAATCGTTCTAAACAAGAAAAATCTTTACTTAAATCAGTGATTCAATGAAAAAAAAACATTTTCAGAGTTCAACATTATAAAATTATTGTACTACAGGTGTAAGCTTCCCGAATTTCTCGACATTACTGCTGAGCATCTTCGGCCATACGTTACGCGTTCACATATTAGTATACTCGTACGTATAAAAATAAAACTGCATTTATTTTTGAACAGCGGAGCCTGACGGTTTGTCCTAACCGTAAGACATCTAGAACATGTCTTGCGTATAAATTAATAATATGTATACATAAATACGTCAGCGCGTAACTACGATCCGTAAATTAAAAAAAAAAAAAACAGTTAGTCGTTGAATTGAATCATTAAGATATAATATGTACCTACTCAATTTTATACTCTATAAAAGTTTCTATAGAATACGATAGAACATAATATAAACTGGTTGGTCGAACAAAATTACACTCGTATATACTGTTGTTACTTAGTACAGGATTCTATCAGAATTAATTTTCCCGACACTTGTTGAACGCATGTAATCATTAAAACTCATTACACACAAATTGGGAAGAAGGGGGCAAAAGAACCGTATCTGTTCCTGCCTGTGTTTAAACAAGGACAATGTATTCTAGCTAAAACAACAATCCAATAGGCACCAGCTTTATAGCTGCAAGTCGACTTGCGAAGAATCCATGGTAGCGTGGAGGCCTATATTTCGGACCATAATATACAATAATAATATATGTATGGCTTTAGTTGGTACGGATAGACGTAAAAAATATAAATGTACACGCACACAAACGCCGCACACCACCCCAGGAAGCAATAACAATCGACCAATTTAACAGTTGAACGAACACGGACGGTGGCGCAGCTAGGGTCTTCCCGGCAACACGAATTAAAGTCGCCGGAAAACTAAAAATAGTATAATAGTAATAATAATAATAATAATAATATATAATATACAGTTATACATTCGTTCGGCAGTTTAAAACAAAGCGAGTATACCGCTGCGCTGTACCACTATAGAATATCACCACATATAATGTATGTGACGGTGGGAGGGAGACGTTTATTATAATTTATAGTAGTTGTCAAGTGATGCGGAATTTATAACGCGAAAACAGCATAGGGTTTTTCTAGAGAAAAAATGCCTAACAAAAATTATATTTTGTATCGGACGAGTACACACCAACGCTATTTATTGTTATTATCATGCTCGTCGGTTCTTCACCGCACCCTACACATATGTACGGCTAATATGCAACTAGCGCATCCTGGCCGTATCGTACAATAAATAATACTCGTAATATTAATAGCACAACGCTCAGCGGCAGCATAGAATCGTAAAAAAAAAGTTTGTTTGGGTTATACGGACATGACGACAATGTACCGACCGTATACAATTCAGATTTGCATACACGTGTATAATATGTCCGGCAGCGGTGGCACTTATATATAAAATATAGAAAATATCATTATAATAAAATGTATAATAAATGTGTATAGGTACGAGCAGATAAAATAAAAACGGAAGGAATTTGCACACGTGTGAGTAAAACCACGCCTGTATAATTTGCGTATAGTGTAATATGATATAAATTAGGTATAAAGGTATACGCATATATATATATCTGTGTGTATATATATATATATATATATATATATAACTATGTGTGTGTGTATATATATATTTACGCAGATAATCAGAGAAGTCAGAGGGAATTAAAGGTCGCAGTAATGTGTTATCAGGCAATTATAAAATACCACGTATGCTATCGGGCGTGAGGACGGAAACTGTTTAAATTTAATAAAACCGAAAGGGTTATGACTTGCAGCAGAGACCACGCGGTTTAAGTATGTATCTATATAGCTTCACGATGTACCATTAATTGCCGTCAATTATTCGAAAGTCAATGCAACACATAGGATTCGAAAAATGATTATTCATTAGCAATAATAAGAGTATGGTTAACGATGTTTACAGGCGTTTTTACTACAGTTTTTAGTGTTTCGAACATCAATATATGAATAAACATATTATAATTTATAATTTATTATCAATGAGTAACGAATTTTAAAGTAGAAATATCGTATTAACATTTTCAAAATTTAAAAAATGTCATTAAAAGAAATCTTGAAAAATTGCAACTAACAGTAAAATTATAATACATATTACTTAAGATTTAAACGGATAAAAAAAAAAATGATAAGTTGAAGTGATTTTTATGTAGCAAAATTAAATTGGACAATGTGAGACTTATATTTGCAGGCCATGAATTGAATACAATTCACAGAAGTATTTTTCTTATACCTAAGTAAGTGTTACATGCATTCCAAATTATTTTACAACCAGTTGTTTCATTAATAAGATGACAAAAAGTAATAACGATAATAGGATACAGATAATAATATATAAAATATATTATGTAATAAAAAAAAAAATTAAATAATATTAACATCACTAGTAAAATAAGTGCAAGTGTTCATTATAAAGGCGCATTATCCTATCAATTGGCTGGTTAATATTTTAATTATTTGTGATATAAAATGGGTATAATAAAAGAAGTAGATGATCGAATGGGATGAGAAGGAACTTAAAAACTAACTTAGAAAAGTAATGAAAGAGTTTAAATACGTGCACTAATTAAATTACAAAAAATATTATTTTTATAATATATTTTTATGTATAATAATAATTTAATATAATATACTTATAGACTATAGCATAGGTACATATAAGTAAATTTAAAAATGCGAAATCACTTGATGTATAATTTAGTTCCATTAAAATATTTAACAAAATCAAAGTGGACATAATCGTCATTATTTGTACACTACTAATACATGATACTCGCAGTACACGGTAACCGCGGCTTGTCTTTAAGGAAATCATGTAAAATCACCTCGAAATGCTTTACATGATAATTATATTATAAAATAAAGGCCGATCTTCGAGAAAGATGTTCCATTGTCATACGTGTATTTATGTGACTAGATAGCGCCCAGAGAAATACGTAGTTAATACATTATATTATTACCTATTATTAATACCATCATTACCACCTTGACGACAAGGGTGACCGAAAAGAACCTACTGAAAGGTTCTGAACCCTGAATGCGGGTCAGCGTAAGATGAGAATAAATCATAAAGATAAAGATTTTCGCATCGTTATCATAGGTCAATAATCTTCACTAGTAAGGTTAGGTTATATGCAGGTAAGGTTAGGACGGTTATAGGTTATCAGCTATCTGTAGGTGTAATGCGAAATTGCCAATTTCATTTTTTACTGATCAAATAATGCCGCTGTTCGACGAGAATCGCATCGTCGTCACATATCATAATCGGATGCAAGAATATTAAAAAGTTCATTTCACATTGTTATTTTGTTGGACGATGTCAGAAAAACCATAGAAAAGTACCATATAATATACATTATAATATTAAAATTTACCATGATAATATATTATATTCCATCAGCATAAAACTATGAACACGATGAACGTTGAGGTCAAAAGTCTGGAGCTTATTGATGCTAAAGAAGTCAGGTTTTTCTTATATACTATTGACATCAATATTTGTTAGCAAGTACCTAATAATAACAATCTATACCCAATACAATTAGGTATTATGTTAGATCAACTAAAAATATATGATAATAAAATAAAACAGAAAATT